TGTGTTGACAAAATTGATTTATTATTCCGTAAACTTAACATGACTTAATAAGGAGATTGCAAAGCCAAAGCTACAAATATAATTAAATGGTTACTACTAATGAGTAGAAGTCTTAATCACAAGTAATTAAAAACTACGCTTTTTATGTTAAGTGATTTGATTATTGTAGTTTTATTATTTTGAAATATATCAACATCAAATATTATCAGTATCAAATAGTTTAAGAATTATAATGATTTACAAGGAAAACTTCGATGTGTAGTTGTTTACAAACAACCAACGTAGTAAAACCACATCGACAATGATTAATTATTTGTACTTCCTATATTTTTAATTTTATATTACTTACCTACATCACATCTTTCAATAATAATATTTAGAACAAAAAGATACGAGTCTATGGCCCCCCAAAAAAACCAGTTCAAGATTAGAGAAACAATGTAGAACGATCCAAAAGTACTTTAAATAATTTTGTTTGAATAAAAATGTCGTTTTGGTTAGTATGGTGGGTCTTTATTTAACATCTCAAATAAATCTGACCACATACAATGACCAACAGTGTCTTCATGCGGTGCTTATGAATGCTGTTCTTAAAAAAAACAAACGCAGCCCTGTCATACTCAAAGCATAGCTACTTTTTTTTATTTCATTTAAGAATATAATAAAGCGCTGTTCTCGGCGTCGAGTTCACCGCTGTTTTTTAAAATAACAGCGTACCAAGTGATTTCTTTGTACTCATATTATTAATCGGTAAACCAATGAAAGATGACGATAAATAACATCTACAGGATACTATGAACGGTATAAAGATTCATATAATTGATTGCTATGCAATATAGTGCAAATCACATTCGCATTTATATTATTAAGAATATCTACCACTTGTCTCAATAGGTATATCTAGGCTACACTTAAACAAGAACGTTTATGATTCAATTTATGCTTATAAAGCATATAATAGTCTTAAACACTGGATTATTATTAAAATTAATCTATAACTACTTCAATAGACTACGGGAGAATTTACATTTTTATTAGGTACTGTAGTTAAATTATTTTAACAGATGAGACCAGGTTGTAGTCAACATGTCTTTCGAGGACAAGATTTATTTTACCGATTTGCTAATATTTACAGGCTTTTTAACACTATTCCAAGTAAAGGATTTAGTGAAAATCTAAATTTGAATTGAAATAATCGGCCTGGCAAAACATTAATAAGTTTCGTTTAATAAAAAATATCTTAGAAAAATACTTAAAAACAATTCATTTTCTAGAATAAATACTAAGATACACAATACAATACATTCTTTTATTTTAAGGTAACTTTGTATGATTTACTTTTTATCATAATTTTTTTGTCCTTCCCAATATCGAGATTAGCTCTGCTAATAAGTATGCGATTGAGCACCGTACCACAACCTGATCTTAAAATATATTTATGAACACGTAAACTGCAGCGGCGCGTGTATCAAAGGAGACTAAGCTATCTCTGCCGGTGGCGTGGAGGTGGCTGGCGGCGCGGGCTCCAGGTCAGCGAAGGAGTCCGGCAGCCGCCTGTGCAGGGTGTCCGGCACCAGACGCGTCAGGGCCGCACTCAGCAACGGCAGAGCACCGAACAACGCGGTTGGCAACCACCACTTATACACCGCCTGAAATTAAAATCTCTATATATATAAAATTCTCGTGTAACAATTTTCGTTCCCGTACTCCTCCGATACGGCTTGACCGATTCTCATTTAATTTTGCTCACAAAATATTGAGTAGGTCTGAGAATCGGCCAACATCTATTTTTCATACCCCTTAGTGATAAGGGTTGCGGAAAACCGACTTCCACGCGGACGAAGTCGCGGGCGGCCAGTAGTTTTATATAAATGTCTTATCACATTTTTAAAGTAAATCATTTTGAATCAATTATAGACTAAGAGAGATATAAGAAAACTACGTTTATTATGGTTAAATTGGGTCTCTATTCTAATTGAAAAAAAAAAAAACACAAAATATCAATTTTATAATTTTTTAAATAAAATATGAGGTCAGTATTTTTTTTTTATTTTAAATTAAAAAGCGCAAAGAGATAGGCTTGTAGACAACTTTTCGTTAATTTTATAAATAAATAATGTATAAGTTACGGTGCTATGTTTATAGAACTGTTGCTAATCGGCCGAAAACGCTCTCTACAAATTCAACGACTAAGTGACGTCACACAGTGGTAGCAAAAACCATATGGGCGTCTGGGCAACCTTTGTAATATCTTTGTTATTTGTGTGTTTAGGTTAGTCTTAATGAAAGTTGTTGCGTTTCTTGGTATTTTAGCAAATTTTGTTAATATATTTTCCCTACTTTTTTCGTGTTTTCAAAACGCAATATTTTTCAAATAAATATCATAAAATACATTTTGTTAAATATTTATTAGTCAAATTGGTTCATATTTTCCGAACATATAACAGAAACCTGTATTTTCACTTGTAGGACACAAGCCTAAATGGTTCTAATGTAAATTCTATTACGATTATTATTAAAGTAGATATAGTAGATACGTGTCCTCTTAATTAAAGAACAAATTGTCGCTCTATTTCTAGTACAACGGACATTTGTATCTGTATCATTGACTATCTTGTTAATTGAGCCTCGTTTCCTCTCTGCTTTTATGCGCAGTCTTATTAAGGCTTATGATATAAGTTACTGTACCGACATTTACTTAGATCTTCATCCGACCATTCATAATTTTATCACGTACCATATCTCATGTCTAGTTGTGAACGTAACATGATTTACTGGAACGATTTTAAAAGTGCTTTCACCTACAGGAAGCTTCATCATATGTGGGTGAAATAAGTTATAAATTATGGGAGTGAAGTCGAGAGAAAAGCAGCTAGTCTTGTATATAGTTACTGATGAATAATTAAGTCCTGTCCTATGTATGTGTATGTGTACAATCATATTATATATACGAATTATTCATCATATTTTTATAGGATATGGACGGACATTTCGTTTTTTATAAAATAGTCATTAAATACGAACAATAACGTTATCTCTTCAGTCTTCTTCATTAATTGATCTGATTATATTTTCTCCATTTCAAAGTTACATATTCGTACATACATATAGAACTTTGACTATGGACTTACTTTAGTTACTTTGGAACCATGGTTACTTGAATCTTAAACAATGTGTAATTATATTTTTATCCGATGTTATTTAGATATCGAGACAAAACCAGAGGTAGAACCTTCAGCAAATTATCGCAAGAATAATTTTACATCTAATTACGTTTACAAATTAAGTGAACAGTTAACTCAGTCTTATTAATTTAAATATTTTATTTTAATGTTGTGTCATTTAAAACACGGTTTCAATAAAGTGCAAATTTAGTCTAAATAAATAGTGAAAAACCGTAAAGTGAGTTAAGATAAGTCATAATAATCACTTGCTTATTTTTGCTTTACGCACCTACATATATCTAGATTTAATACGAGTAAGTTATCTCCTCTCTATTAATTGTTATAACTCTTTCAACTTACCCCAATGTAAAATTAATATTAGCCTACATTATCCCTTAGCTAAGACGCCTCAAAAATGCTTTAGTTCTTTTTTTAGTCTAACTTTAATATTATCATTATTTTTTTTTTTTTGTCTAAGTTTACATGTTATACAAGAATGTTGTATTTACTTGTAAAAGCTTTCATATGAGTCTGTTTTTTTAATGTTTTTTATTATACCGCAAACATACGTAGCTGTAAACATACCATAATATAATAAATCAATAAACTCCATCTTCAAGCGTTTATTACATAATCTGTTATAATTATAAGCAAACGCTTACTCAATACCTATATACCTACGATCGTTACTTATAAACTACATAATTATGAAAAATTGTTTAGGTCGTATTGATTAAGATAACCAAAGATTCTTGAGAGTTTTACGGCTATCATTAAATCTACCCACCTATAGTTATGATAAAATGTTGCTTGTAAAAAATAATTTAAATAATAAAAAATTAATATCATAATACCATATTAAAAAAGTAGCTCGGTGGCGTAGAGGATAAGCGCCGCGGCCCGCGATCGTTGTTGTTAAGCAACTTTCCCAAGGGTCGGTCACGGGATGGGTGACCAAAAAATTATTATCTCGAGCTACTTCGTGCTTCGGAAGGCACGTTAAGCCGTTGGTCCCGGCTGCATTTGCAGTCGTTAATACCCTCCAATCCGCATTGGGCCAGCGTGGAGGGTCATGGCCCATCCTCCTTAACCATCCATAAGGAAGGCCTGAGCCCCTGCAGTGGGGACGTAATAGGGCTGATGATGATGATGATGATGATTAAAAAAATATCACCAATGTTTTGATAAATCGAGAAATGTATTAACACCTTATCCGAACAGGCTAACTGAAGTGTACGCGATAATTATAATGACTACATGCCGGATCTATATTTCAATTTACACATTCCACTAATGGAAGTATTGAATTGTAAGCTACTATTTGTAGTAGCTACTATTTGTAGTAGCTTACAATTACAGATAGCTCGAGTGTCAGTGTTATTCGACATAGGGTCGACCTCTGTATCTGAGTCGCTCGCCTGCTAAATTCAAAGTGACGTCGTCCTAGAGCTCTCCGGTTCTATTCTCGGTCGGGTCAATGTCTAAAATGAACTTTTCTATATTTTCTCGAAGTCAGAGTGTTAGCACCTTTGTTATAGGTACACCTTTCAAATACTTCATAATATAATATAAGACCTCTAGCTATGGATTATTTACTTAATACACAACACATCTCTACTATACACTTAGAACATAACTAAATGCTAAACTATGAGATTAAAAACTTTGTTAGCGTACAAAATATCACACTTAAAAACTTCGAGGACAGTTTGTACATGCAAACATACATACATACATATAAATTAAAATGACCTCAATGCGTTAAAGATCAAATAGAATTCATTTCTATAGAACAGTTGTAGGAAAATCTATAATAAAACATTTGTATTCCACCTACAAGTATTAGTTAACGGCGAAAATTGCTAAAGAAAATAAAGAAAAAAAATGTCAGTTTTAAAATAAGTTCTACTGTCTACAAACTAGAGTTTGATTCGCGGTGTCACTTACCAGCAGTGGCGTAAGAGGTGCCAGTATAGCTCCCAACCTTCCCATCGTGGAGCAAGCAGCCAACAGCCGATGCCGAGCTCTCGTCGGGAACAGCTCAGCCGTATACACATACAACGCATTCAGCGACATTGTAGCACCCATCTTGCCCAACAGGTACAACGCCGTGCCGAAACCACTGCTCGCTTTAATAATAAGAAACGATAAAAATAATAATATTGAACTAAATCAGATATTTATTTATTCTCATAAAAGACGTCAAAAGAATAAATATCATGATAATAGCAACGAACATTGAAGAAACAACTGCACCATTAGACTCCTTGACATATCTACCTTGTGTTTTATCATAGTAACGTTTTTAATAGACGTTCTACTTATGAAGCGTAAATTTCCCGAATTTAATTTAGGTCATCATGCAGTAGTAAATTTTCCTGTAAAAATTTGTAAGACTACATGTATAAAATAATGTAAACAATTTATAATATTTAGTTAAATTCTAATTAAACTAGTTTTTTTTTATTAATTATAGCTTTAAGTTCCCTGATTAAATAACATTTTGAGATAAACCTATAAGAATGACAGCATTTGAAGCTTCTGAATACGAGCGGGAACTTTTTGTAAGATCTCACGCACCACTAATCACATCGAAAAAATGGAGCAAAATTGAAATACTAATACCGTTCCTAATCGCTAACGTCCTTCAACACTATTATGACCTTGAATTCGTTTCATTTCATCTATACATGTACTCTAGAGTTGGGTTATACTAGTTAAATTTTCATATACTAATTAGATCATTGCTTTATTGGCCGATAAGATAAGCGCGAAAACGTCGGCACTGCACATGCTGATCCCATCGACAAGTGTAAATCGTATGATTTTGAATTCCAAAAAGAAGCTACTCTATCCTAACATTATAAAGAGGAAAGATAATAATCACATCTTTCCTTAATGAAAAATGCTTAATAAATCCACTTTGTCCTTAGCACTCTGAGATGGGACTCGAACCTTTCGCAATGCGGACTGCTCTAACCACTGAGCTACCCAAGGCCTAACAGTACTCACGAATTTTTCAAGCACTCATTACTCTTTCGCTACTACAGAGCGTATTTTCATCAAATTTCAGGCAAACCACTCAAACAGGGTAGGTTTTTTAAGCAATTTTCATTAAAAAAATATTTGAGTGAATGCAAAATTGATCAAATATAATAAATATTTGATTGTTTTCATTGAACAGGCTCCGTATTACTGGACTGATTTTAAAAATTCTTTAACCTACGGAAAACTATAATGCGTATGCCATAATTTAAGCGGGCGAAGTCACGGGAAAACAATTAGTAATACTCAACACTGACCATCGGGCAGGCAAGGAATGGCGATAAGTGCCACAGCGGTAATGAGCAGCGCAACGGTCAGCAGCGGCCGGCGACCCACCCGGTCCAGCAGCAGCGTGTTGGCGAGCAGCGCGGGCAGCTCCGCACTCGCCACCAGCGCGTAGTTAGCGTGCGCTGATCCAGACAGCGCGTGCGCTTGCACTGCCAGACCGTAGAATACGAACACTGCTGATGCCCACCACACGAAACAAACGCATAGGCGCCGCCTCAGTGCACCGTACCTTAACATAAAGGTATTAATATAGTTGTCACATATATAAATAAAAAAGAAGCTGATGTCAGAAAAATGAAAAAGTCTTTACTCTAATAAGCTTATTACAAGCACTTTGGAAACGTAAAAACTTTTTATTTCCTGTCACCCTATATAATATCTATAGGTCATAGCATAGGTGCGTATAATTAATCGTAAGAAATACCGTAAGAAACGAAAGAAATAAATCTAATTCTGTCTACATATCCCGCGAAGAATCTGTCGTGAAAATTGTCTCTATGAATATGAAAAGACACACAGTCATACCAGTGTTAAATGAAATATGAACTCACTTGAACAAAGCCCTAAACAGACTCTCGTCTTCTATAATCTCCTCCACTTTATTGTTCACCTGCTCGGCTTCATTAAGGAGCATCTTTTCAAGCCCATCTTGTGGAATGTTAACTTTGTTATACTTCGCCGCTCTCTTTATGATCTGCACGGCCTCCGTCAGGCGACCCTGGATGGTCAGCCACCTGACACTCTCTGGCAACAACCATGGGTACAAGAGCAACAAGAAGGAGGGTGGGTACGCGAATCTCGCCCAAGTCCTCCAGTACCCCGTGAGGTAGTCGAGTAACGATAATGTTGCAGCACCCATCGCTAGCGGTATACCCAGGACTAAACTGGCTAGAATTCTCTGTTCCACCCCCAACCACTCGATCACTGCAGACAATATATAATATTTAACCAAAAACAAAAAAAAATATATACTCTCGAAAAATAATAGAATGAATTTTAAAGTGGTTCAATTTTATATTAACGTTAATTTTCTATTTCAGCAATCTTGAATTAAAGTTAAGTTTCAGTAAATTATTGAACTTACTTAATACAAATGCAGCAGGATAAACGCTCGCTCCGCAAACGGTTTCAAGAAGTTCAGCCATAAGATATGTAGGATAAGAAGTGACAAAAGATTTAATCAAACCCAGGACTCCAGCACCACAACCGCTCACGATCAGAGCAGCTCTTCGACCCCATCTAAAACAAAATTATAATGAAAACTACTCATAAAATAACAACAAATGAAAAAGTATATAAAATTAAAAATATATGGAATCAGAATTTTATCCTAGAAAAACAAAAAATCTTTTTGCTTGATGTCTTCCGCTACGAAGCTGGTTTATTTGGCAAAGTTGTGCTTTTTTTGATAAATACGTATGTTAAGGGAAATCGAGAAATCACTTAATTTGTATAAAAACTACGAATATTAAAAAATCTAAGCGCTCCAATATATAAAAGATCTAGATATATAAAGCATACAAGATATCTCAATCTCTTCACAGGTGGTTCGAGTATGGATATGTAGGTTATAGAAAACTCTGATCTATCCTATGGTAGACTTACTTGTCTGATACAAAACCCATGATAGGTAAAGAGATGAGCATGCCGACATTGTGCACTGTGCCCACCAAGGACCTTTTCCATTCTTGACACGCCAAATCAAACTGCAAACAAAAGCCTAACTTAAAATAATTTCATACACGTGTCATATAATATACCTATGTATAACTTAAAAACTTATGTCCATAATACAAACGTGTTAACGCGAAATAAAGATATTCCGTTTATGTTATGACAATATGTATATTTTCAATTTGCAAGTTTCTAATAGAATATTACATTTTTTAAGAAATACAAAACATATAATCACGCCACATTGGATAGGTACTAAATAATTATTTTATAAGCTGGAAATCACTGTGATATTTAAACTTGTTTCGGCATGATATAATCTAAGATCTTTCGTTTAAAATTAACTAATTTTTCATTCATAAAGTACTAAATCCGACGACTCTTACTTTCATACCGATATCGCAGTTTAAGTATAGATCTGTACAACGTGCTGATATTATAAAAGGTGCAAGTGAATAAATAGGGATCAGGATAGACTGAAATAGGGTCATATGGTTTTTTTTCTAAAGAGATAGAAAGCTGCAGAATAATAGCTACTCTCAATTGTGAAAATAGTTCTTTAACCACATGGGTGAAGCCACAGGTGATCTAAATAGCAGACTTAGATTAACTTAAAAATTAAAAGCTTGTCCAGTAGAATAGCTGCAAGTTCAAAATTGAAACGGTATATATATTTTTAACGCTTATAACTGTCAACTTACTAACGATCAATCTCTAACACAACACATCTTCTGTATAAGCCCTAGACTGACCTCAGCGACGATGCTGCTGCCGGCCTGGTATATAAAGTCTTCACAATCCAGCCGTGTAGCGTTGTCGAAGGATTGTCGACCGCAGGCGCCATCTACCGGCTGCCAGCGATGACATTTCGAGTCATCAGGTAATGACCATCCGATCCATTCTGGCTGCCACTCTTCGCTACTCACTGAACCCAGAGTCTTGTTCTCACATTCAGGCACATGACATCTGAGAAAAAAGTTGACATATCAATTGAATTAGCTAGTATTCCACTGTGAATGGTAGCTTTGTAAAAATACTAAAGAACACAATATCGTAAAGAAGAAAAAAATTAATGTTTGTTTGTAATGAATACATTCAAAAACTATTACACCAATCTTTAACATTCTTACACCAAACTAAAGATAAATTAATAACATAGGATTTATTTGATTAATTTTTATAATACAACAATAATTTAGAGTAGCCCAGAGTAGTCATTATGAATGTGAAAAATTGCAGTTCCAAAGTCCCGTCGCTGGCAATTTAGTAAGACTGTCAAATATTTTAGGTATTTTAATTTGAAAAAATGAAGCAAAGATCACTAGAAGTAATAAAATTAACAATTTTATAATGCAAAAGCGTTACTATTATTTACGTTCGATATTTAAAACATACTGAACTCTGTTGCACTCCACCTAATCCCAAAGTAGACCAAGACCGAAATATCCTGTTTATAAATAGCTTAGGTTACTTTTACTAATGTAGGTCGACATCCCGACGAAGTCTGTTAATTACTCTAAGCTTTGTTCTTTTATATTTACAAATAGCTTTTTAAATTATATCCATTTTAATATTTACATATTGTTCTGCCACTCTAGAAGAAGCTACGCAGTGTATTCTCGGAACATCTACCGCAGTGTCTAAAGACGAAAGTCTTTAATTCGTGCGTGTTGCCAGTGAAGACATACGGTACTGAGACGTGGCCGCTTACGATGGGCCTCATAAGGAAGCTCAAAGTCGCTCAGAGGGCAATGGAAAGGGCTATGCTCGGGGTTTCCTTGCGAGATCGAATCAGAAATGATGAGATCCGCAGAAGAACGAGTCACCGACATAGCCCAAAGAATTGCGAACATCAAGTGGCAGTGGGCAGGGCACATCGCTCGCAGGACTGACGGCCGTTGGGGCGGTAAGGTCCTGGAGTGGCTACCGCGTACCGGGAGACGCAGTGTTGGTAGGCCCCCCACAAGGTGGACCGACGATCTGGTAAAGGTCGCGGGAAGCCGCTGGATGCGGGAGGCGCAGAACCGATCGCTTTGGAAATCTTTGGGGGAGGCCTATGCCCAGCAGTGGGCGTCTCTCGACTAAAGTGATGAAGATGATGTTCTGCCACTCTCTCAACGTCTTTTCACTGATAAGTAGAAGTAACCAAAGAAAAACACCAGCTCTAAACAATAACAAAAGGTACTATGTATAGGTATCTACTTAGTATAACGACGGAAATCTAGTCTATAAGTAATGATAAAGTTCAAGGTCAGAGAATGCGAATTCTAGAAAATTCCACTGAATATTAGCGTTTACACAAAAAAAGCTATCAATCGCCCGGTCGCCACGTAAAGAATCATTGTTATTGACAATGGAAGATTTTTTTTTCAACTCAATCCGATCACTCTGATACCTATAGGATATCTGTAAAAAATGGATTATGCAACGTTTATTCTTAAACATACAAAAAGTGTATATTACTCATTCTACTAATATTATTCTTAAAATCGCCAATAGCCGTTACATTTTCATGTCAACAAAAGAACAATTTTGTTAAAAAGTTTTTAAAATCGGCCTAATAGTTGTAGAATAATTAACAGAAACAGATAAACCAACAAACAATCAAATCTTTTCTATTTATATTATAATAACAAAAAAATATAGAGTATGGTCTATTACATTTTCCAAGTGCCTCGTTAAAGGCCCTGTTACATTTTCGTATCTTGTAGCAGCTTCGCTTATTGTAAATGGACCTTATCTATTTAATTAAACCCCAAAAAAGTTTTCCAAAAATGCGCCATGGCACTTTTTTGAGCTTTTGGATTAAGCATATGAGATAACATTCAATTGAAATGTTATCTCTTATGCAATGCACCTCAGCATAGTTTTTCGGCCATGTAGCGAGTTTGTTTGTATTTGTAACAGGTGTCTTATCAATCAACGTGGAAGAGATTGACGTGAAGCTGAACGATAACAATGGGGTTTTAGAAGAACATAGCATATTTTCCAGCAATTAGTCAAAGTCAATGTCAAAATAATCTTTATTCAAATAGACTTCTTAAAAGTACTTTTAAATCGTCCAACATTTTTTTCTCTACCACTCGCTCAGGACGTCTTTTGGCTGATAAGACGAACGAGCAAGAAACTCACCAGCTCTATTGAGAGTAATGACATTCACAAAAACCATTTCATTACCAGATCAATACATTATAAATAAAGAGAAAAAAAAACGTTGGTCTTATAATGATAACATTGATAACATAATAATTTTAATAATAATGGCAACAAGATAATTTTTGTGATGTAATGTGAGTTTAAAAGAAATCACCTATCTAGTTGCTGGACCATCTTAAGTCCAAACATTTTTATCTGTTATATTATATGATATTATGTATTATATATATTATGTTCTATGATATCTGATTGTTGTATTTTGCTTGTTATTAACTTTATGCAGTCTAGTGACAGACACCGTTAATTTTTTTATTTCTTGTATTAAAATTATTTACATCACTTTTTATAGAAAACAAACTAATATTTTTACAAACGTACATTAAGTTCTCATATTAGTATTGAGAAGCAACAGAAATTATGTCTATTTCGTTTAATTTCTCCCTTAAAGAGTCCCTAATCTTAAGATTATAAATTGATCTAATTGCTCTTTCCTGAAGCACAAAAATCGTTTGTATGTCGGCAGCATTTCCCAACAATAGGATTCCGTACGATCTGGCAGTATCTATGTCGATTAACCTACGCACCTTCATTACGGCATATGCTGCAGAGCTAAGTCTATTAGACAATTTATCAATATGTGGGCCCCACTGTAGTTTAGATCTAATGTTATTCCTAAAAAACTGTGGTATGATACCCATGTTCTTATATTTTATATTTACATTTATATCTACTTTTTAACATTAGGTAGTACAAATTTTAGGCATGTTTTTTTTGTTTTTCCTTCATTAAGGAGAAAGTAGTACCATGAATAATAGCGTTATTTTTTTGGTGCGTTTTTTTTTGATGGTGTACAGAGCTGCAAAACTACGATATTTAGCAACCCTCGTACACTTGATATCTGTGTGAACCGGTCACCCGTAAATGAACACGCTTGTGGTGCACTGGTGGTTGCACATTATTGACGTGGTAGACTCACGATATTCTATAAATAACGTTAAAACGCTGGCTTTAGTTAAAGTTGCAAGTTAAGTTAAGTTGTATAACCGGCTTATAACCTGATTACCGGTCAATGTTTGTTTCGCACCTTGTTGGCACGCATGACTAACGCATACGCACAATGTTGCCAACGGTTAAGCTTGCTGTCCACCTAGACTAGACATCCGAAACCACCAGAAAACCGCAAATAAGAATATAGTATTCTTAATAAAACATTGTTCGGTACTGCTAGAAAACAATCTGTATTTTAATTTGTTTGTTTTTTGTGCAGTGTATTTTCAGAATGATCTGGTTTTATCCCAAATTATCACTTTTTTTTTATTGGAGGCTCTGGAAAATATCTTATGATACACCGATGATCAGTATTATTTTTATTGATTTATCTCTTTTGAAATTATTTACTTTTTCATTTTGTAAATAATTTTATCGACAGCACGACTAGTTGAGTGTTTTCAGGTTTTTTATTTCACAAAAAAAGAACCACCAGCTACTAAAAGCGCTATAACACGGTTTGAAATCACCAGTTATTGTAGAAAATCCACTAAGTTGGCAACACACGCGGATACGTACATACTACGTACACGTATACGCACCCAGGCACGTGACTTTGGTTCTCATGCGGGTCACTGGGCCGGTCCCCCCCCCCCCCTACCCACATAATTTCCCGTCACTTTCCATAATCCAAAGGAAAGTAATTGCAGTTGAAAAAAAAAGCAATTCTGCGTTCAGGGTCTTAACAATGATTTTACTGCACAAAACGATTGATTTTGTAGCCTATTTACCAATTTCCTCTTTAATACAAGAGCATACTAGTAGTAAATTTTATAAGTGCAATTTATTTCTACACTAACGGTTTTCCCGCGATTTTGCCAGAGCGACATATAGTCTATGTCACCCACGTATGATGTGAAATAGCAAAGAATTTTTAAAATAATTTCAGAGCTTATTTGATGTAAACAAACAAATCAACAATGAAATCTTTAATAATAATATTTTTATTGTCAAACTGTACGGTAGACGTTACATAAATAAGCCAATTCCAACTGCTTCCCATTTCGAAAGTTGTACAGACGATAATAGTACTGTACCTGAAGCTCTATTCTATTTGTCCGAAAAATACGTCTTTTTTCGAAACGCCAATTGCTATTCTAACGAAACGCTTTCGATAATTTATGATCAGTGGTTGGAATTAGGTAGAGTTATTCATGTACTTACACTGATTTCATACAGCGAAAGAATAAAGTGGATATGCCTCAAATCCCGAGATTAATTTTAAAGAGCAGAAAAAATCCCGTGATTTTTAAATAAAAAGTTATTTACTTTTACACAATTTAAACTACTGCACGCACGACGTTGCCAAACTTACATCAATGACATCGGATGTCCAAAGATGTCCAAGATTGTCCATTAGAAATCCCGGGAAGATCAACATTTCGATGCAAGTACATAAATAACTCTACCTAATTCCGACCTCTGTTTATGATACAACGGTTCTAAGAGCCGACGCACTTACTCCAACGCACAGATAGGATCTTCACGGATAGATTACTAGATCGCTAAATCTAATAATCGTTCCAGTTTGATCGGATATTTCGCATCTCAAAATCAGACGAAGTACTTTATTTCAAGTGACTTATAAAAAAAATAAAGTTCAACAAGTCGGGCACCGATTATTTTGGCCGCACGCGCAATCAAAGAGCCTAACTATGTCCGACTTTATCCAGACATTTAGCAATCCTGTTCACGGGTATGGTTTTAACAAATGATCGTTATTATTATTACCTACGTGCTGCCGGCATCTACTTTTAGGTATTATTTAGATATATTTTTATTTTTAAGTTATCATAACAGACCAACAGAAAGACTATATTCATGATCATCGGGCGCGGCCTACATGTCTGTTTCAGGGCAAGAGAAGACACCTGCGAAATAGATCAGGCAAGTCTTTGTAGTGGATAGGAAGCGGAGAAGAATCGCACATTGACGCATCTCTTTGACTCTGGAGGAGCTAGGGGAGATGATTGGCAGCCTGCAGGGTCTGGAGAGGGAGAGGCACTATTTTGTCCCTGCTCTCCTCCAGTGGGTGAGCGTCACGCATTTGCAAGCTCCCCCTCCTCAATTTCAATGCCTATTATCTACGCCATTTCTTGTTAAATTGAAGCAAAAATAATATCTAATTCTTTTCATTATCTTACTGACAGACGAAATAGAATCTCTTTTTTTTCACCCATTAATCGTGCATATTGTGTGACGCCATTAATTGATTTAACTATTTATTTATCTATTTTGCTTTGCCAGATAACAAGGATAGTGACAAAAACATTTCATTCTAACTAAAAAAGAGTATAAGAATGTATGTAATACTGAGCTTCATGAATTTCCTTGTAAACTATGTAAACATAAAAAAAAACTTAATATTACGTATACCGGGTTTGTATAGCATACTTAATTCAGCTAACCGTGTAATTTGATGGCTGACATGTGATGATTACTGATTAAGAGTACCAATTTTAGCTTTATCTCCTCGCAGCAGAGTTCAGAATCGCAGAAGCGATGTCGTCATAACCACGCGCTAGCCAGATTATACTTGCAAACTATTTTTATTATCTACACGAAAACTATGCGATTTATCTATGAATATGTAGCATGTGACGATTATGTTAATCCAAGAGAATTTTATTATGCTATGTCAGTGACACGTGTCTGTATTAAATGATTATAAGCATGGGAAATAAGGCAGTGACTGGAATGTCTCGTTATATTTCGATGCCAGTTAAACAACTAATTAAGTGATATTTAAACATTTGACATAAAAGTCTGATTTAATAACGTGAAACGTAGCTAATAGCAGATTGTAAGGCAAGAGGGTGTAATGAACCATTGTGGAAAAAGTAGTTTTTAAACCCGAGCGTTAAAAAAATGATATATATATAGGCATTACCTATCAAGAGCGACTCGAACTTACAAACTTAGGGTTCTCTACAATATTAAATAAAATCATTTTCTTATGTTTTTTACTATAAATAACAATTTAAGCATCAAACCTTTTTCCGTTTCTTAAATTTTTGCTTCGATCCATTATAAAACTACCTAGGCATATTTATAACAATTTAATTACAAATGAATAGTATCATATTTTCCCTCGAATATATATTGTGAAAAGAACATCTATTCATATCATAGTTCTAGATCAACATGAATAATCCTATCAATTTTAATTACCTTTTTTTCGAAGTATGTATTAAAGTACGTTTTTTGCGGAGTAAATAGTCGTATATTTTTTAATGTTAATTTAGAAATTTCATTTTTTCCCATCTGTAAGAAATCTCCGATGCCTGACTATATGGTTTTAATTTCAACTCGATATCTACACGTGTTCCCGATATAAAGTGCCTTGACAGACAAGCCGATAACAGAGTCATCCTAGAAGTGTTGTTTTTTCCTTTTTAAACATAAAAAACAACAACATTATTTAATTAATTAACGTTAACTTTACAAATATTCTCCTTTCATTAAAAATATTATTTTCTTAATAAAAAATCTTTAAATTATCAGTTACGTTAATCTTGATAAAAATATATATTAATGAATCATGTATTAGTTTGCTATTGATTAAATATAAATAGATTAAATATAAATAACCTTGACCAGTTTCCTAATGAAATAAAAATGTATTTTACATAATTCAAAACATATTTATATGCAAAAAGTTTGTGAAATCTTAAAATATTTCTGTTATGCATTATATTGACAAATATAGTGACGTCGTTTATTGATTTGTTTTGGTATTACTAATTATTTATACAGGAAAAAATGTTAAACAGGGGTCAATTTTTTCCTATGGCTTAGTAATGTTTTAAGAACATATTTATGAAGATGCTTGTATTTTCATATTTAAATAGATAATTTACCTATTTTTATATTTATTTATATTTTCAAGTTTGTTTAGTAGTAGTGAATGAAACATCGATGTTAACAGGTTAAAAAAGAGTGTAAGAATAACATGATTATGGTGAAATTACATCTTCTGCACTGACTACAAATTGTACCTGTATACTAATATTAAAAATGTTGAACCAAAATTGCATAGTTTTCACAATAAAAATTAACTGCCGAAATGTACGCTCATTACTTCAGTACGTTCACCAAATCAAATATCATTTAATATGTTTGTTATTATTAAGGCTAGGTTTGTTTAAAAAATAAATTTCAAAACGAAATGTCGATATGTGCGGTAGGACCTCAAAAATATTATTTTTTTCAACAAGTACACATCCTGTGCGCATCCAGGGGGGCCAACTAAAAGTAGAAATAATTAAGATAAATAATATAAAGAATATTTTTTTTTAGAGAGATCTTTCCATTGCAGATTGGCATGTCTTGATTGCTTCTTTCGCTCGTTCTGTATATGTCCAAGTTTGTGAGCCGTAAAAATTAAAAATTCGAAGATTACAGAAAATAAGCAACAGCTTTATTAGGAACAAAACTCAACTAATTGATTTTTTACAGCACTCCATGAGATTAAAGTGGAAATGGGCCGGTCATTTGGTGAGAACGAAAGATGAAAGATGGACAAAGAAAGTCATTATATGGAAAGGACCTACAGGAAAGAGGAAACGTGGAAGACCACCAAAAAGATGGGTCGATGACATAAAGAAAATAGCTGGAAACGATTGGGAAACAAAGGCAACGGACAGAAAAAAGTGGTTAGAAATGGAGGAGGCCTTTACCCTAGAAAGGGGTTCTCATTTATAATAAGTTTAAATTAATTGAAAATATCTGATTAATGTAAATGAATATATAGTAATAAATAACAAATAATAAATAAATAAATAAAATTATAGTAAGGAGTTAGAATGTGATATTCTTATAATTATTAAATGTGTATTAATTTGTAAAACCATAAATTAAATTCATTTAAATCGTATGTAATATTATTATTATAATGCATGCATGAATGTAATGAATGAGAAATAAATAAAGGCTTTTTATTTTTTATTTTTTATTTTTATTATTATTATTTATAATATAAAGAATAACGAAGGAAGAATTGAAAATAAAAAGCTGTGCTTTTAATTATTAATAGTCGACCAATATCTTAATTTAGGTGAACACGGAACATATAAAAGATCATGAAGTGAACTCATTTTTCAAAATTACACACGATGAAACATACGAAACAAGTAATAAGATATTTAAGTAAACACAAATGCATACTTAATTTACGTCACAATAATAACATAAACGTTGTTGAAGGTGGTACGTGACCGGTTATAACCGGGTGGTTATCCCGATTGAAACTGACCTATACCACGACCCACACGACCCCACGCTACGTCATTCCTCCGACTAGTGTCTCAACAAGACAATTAATCATCACCAGCCCTTTTACGTCCCCACTGCAGAGGCTCAGGCCTTCCTTATGGATGGTTAAGGAGGATGGGCCATGACCCTCCACGCTGGCCCAATGCGGATTGGACCCTCCAATCCGCATTGGGCCAGCATTATTAATGACTGCAAATGCAGCCGGGGACAACGGCTTAACGTGCCTTCCGAAGCACGGAGTAGCTCGAGATAATAATTTTTTGATCACCCATCCCGTGACCGACCCTTGCGAAAGTTGCTTAACGACTACGATCGCGGGCCGCGGCGCTTATC